GTGGGGATATGTAAAAGATCACGTTTATGTTTCACCGCTACCCACTAACCTCGATGACCTTAAACATCGAATAACAACAGCGATTAACTCATTGCATCGTGATATGCTGATATGCGCCTGGGAGGAATTCTCTTATCGCATTGATGTTGCCCGTGCTGCAGGTGGTGGCCACATTGAACACTTGTAAGACAGGAAATAAAAGTTGAATAACCCTGTATTTTAAAATCTGTTCTCTTCCTTTATAATGTCATAAATGCCCTGCCAATTCTTATCTTGTAATTGTAAAATGCAAATAAAGCAACAAGAAAATTCAAGTGAATTCATACCGCTTTCTCCTTGATAAGGAAGTCAAAGGCCCCTTTCTCACGTCGTAAGGATGTAAGAAAAGCCTGTTCTTCCACCGACCCACCATACATCAGGAAATACACACGCAGCTGAATTTCTGGATGTCTGCTTTGATACACCTGTTGCCAAATGTGGAATATTAAGACATTACAGAAACAGTTATAGGAGTACACGGGCCCTCACACCTTGCACCATAAAATCTATCTAACTGTGATCTCCAATTTCAAAATTTTCTTCTAAAGTTTGTAAATAGTAAATAATAATACTAAAATATACACCTTTAATGTTCACATTAGTAGAATAAACAATCCACTTCTATTTCCAATGAAGTGCTTTTTTAAAATATTACATTTTCATTGTAAAATAATGAACTGTTTCATAAATATGCATAAAAATAAAAAAAAATGCATATGAATATTTATAACTGGAACTCTTGCATCAAAAGCCATTTGACTGTATATACAGACTAACTCATCATCACATGCCACATTTTACCAGATGGTTTCTAAACATCAAAATAAGTAAAAATGTTCTTCTGAATATGTACCCTGAGGGCTTTCTTTGAAAGTTATAACTATCACAAAATGTCAGCTTCATTCATCACATTCCAAAAAACAGATTTTCGATGAGCAGTTTGCTTGTGCCATGTGGTGACAGAAGAGATCCATCAAAGGCCAAACTCTGTGTTGATATTTATATTACTTGACAGTCTTACTACAAATGCATAATACTGTAATGTAGACAAACACTAATATGTATTATATTTTCAGTTAGCCTGAAGAAATGTAAACTTGTGAGCCGTGTCCCTCGACCCTGTGGGTAAAGAACCCCATTCTTCTACCCACTTTGACCCGTGAATCCCTTCTTTACATGGGTAAGGGACAGGCTCATAAGAAATGACTTGCTTGCTAGTGTGATGTACTATGCCTCCCTAAGACTGAGTAAGGGATCTCGAGGGAGAAAAACCAGTCGGCATGATGGGCCAGGCTGGACGGATCCGCTAGGCAGGAGCTGGTATGGAACATACGGCCCAAGTATACATATACTCAACTGGCGTTTTCAAACATATATATATATATATATACAGGGTGTCCCAGGAGGAATGTGCCAAACTTCGGGAGGGTGTTCCTTATGTTAAAGTATGCCGATATAACCCAAAACACCTATGTCCAAAGTTGAACGGTTATGGAGATAATGGCCCAAGAAAAGTGTGGTCTTCTGGCAGGTCCAAGCACTGTACCTCGCTGTACCTCTCAGCTGAGAGCCCTTATCTATGTTTGTCCTTGAGTGCGATGATACTCCCTAGCCGTGCTTATGTAGTTGGCTCATACCAGAACGCGCAGTCAGCACGTTACGTCATCGCTCGCCAGTCATGTGTTATGTATACTGCTTGGAAACCTAAGGACAATTATGACATGGCGAGCGAGTATTTTGTA